AGTCGCATTGCCGAGTGCCTAGGCATGGATGCCAGCAAATACAGGCAGAATGCACAGCGGTAAGTGCCAGCCGAAAGTTAATTATTAACCAATTGATGTTTACGCTTCATTCCCTCCACACACAGCATTCAGCGGGAGCGCACAGAGGAAGCCGAGGGTGAATCGCTGCAGAAAACCACGTTGCAGCTGTATCGGCTCTGCGAGCCATTCCGCTTCAAGTGCGTGGCTTGCAAAGCGGAGCAGCTTATGGCCAGCGCCTATAGACCGGGCTCCAACAGCAGTCATGTGCCCGTGCTGCAGCAGTGCGTCAATCCGGAATGCCAGACATCGCCGCTGCAGTATCTGGTCAGCATACGCAATCAGCTGCAGCTCTGCATGCGCGGCTATGTGCAGCGCTTCTACCGGAATTGGCTAGTGTGCGATCATCCTGATTGCAACTACAATACCCGAAGCTATTCCATACGTCTCGAGATGCGTCGCCCGCTCTGCCTCAAGTGCAACAGCGGTGCCATGCTGCGTCAATACTCCGAGCGCGATCTCTACAATCAGCTGTGCTACCTGCGCTTCATGTTTGATCTGAACAAACAGCAGCTCCAACAGAAACGTATGTTCAACCCCATTGTAAATTTAACATGAACTATAAATGTACTATTTCTTTCTCTTCACACAGCTACGCTAACGCCCGAGCTCGAGCAAGCCTATCAGCTGCTCTATGACACCGTGGAGCAGCAATTCCAATGCTCCAGCTATGTTGTCATCTCGCTAGGCAACATATTTGCGCGCAGCCTGGCGCTGTCGTCGCTACAGCCGCCCAAGAAGGCACAGCGGGATGATTATGCGATAGCCAGCAGTCTGGCCGATGTTTAGTTAATGCACAATCGGAGCACTTTTATTAGATCTACACACAGTCAACCCAAACACACACACACACAGATAGATATGGTTAAATAACATATACAAATCTTTGATAAACTAGCTGAGAAACTTATCAAGCGGAAAGTGCCGAAAGGACTCATTGAATATATCCGTAAATGCCGTGCTCACCAGCTCATTGATCATGGGCCGGACAAATGGCAAACCCACCTGCCACATGCTGTTGATGACGCCATCGGCCAGTTGATTCAAAGGTTGACCCTGCAACAGATTGCCTATATGCAGCTCCATGCCGCCAATGCGATCCACCTCCACATGCACCTTCAGCAGTGAGCCAGGTGGGCCCACGCGCCGCACGCTCGTCGTTTGACTGTCAGTTGGACAAGTCAGCATTAGGAATAGGAATATATATATATGTGTATATACACTGTAATTGGGAGCTGCTCACCTGTAGTCGTAGAGCGTCAGATTCCAGTGGCCCTGTCGTCGCAGCTCTGTGCCCAGCATTTTGGCCACGAACTCGTACTCGCCCTCCAAGCTCTTCTCGGGAAAGTATTGCGCATAGACAATGCGCTGATCTTCGGCATGGCTATGAAATTTGGTCACCTCGGAGCGCGACCAACCGTATTCGGAGACGTTGCGTAAAATGAGTTTAAAGCTGCCGGGGCCATGCGGATCGCCGCGACGCAGCTCCACAAACGACGAGTGATGCGGGTCAAATGGCTGGATGTTGTAACCGGGCACACCTGTTTGTTCGTTGGGTAGAGAATGTGTCATGAGTCCACCTGACCCCCACCTTAACAGTGGCTCACCTGTTGTAAAATAGGCGCGCAAATCGTTGAACACCTCTTTCATGCAATCGTTGTACGCCTCGAGATTTGCTTCATCTCGGTGACAACGACCGATCAAGTGCTTTAAATCCTCGTCCACATCTATTTGGCCAGAGGCTTCAGTTAGTCCCGCAAAAACAACAACAACAACAACAAACGCGACTAAACAGTGGGTGTTACAGTTTCTGAGCAACTGGTGCGACATTGTGTTGTTGGTTTTACCAGACCCTGTTGAATACAAGTGCATATTTGTATTGGTAAGTGCTAAGTATTTACGTGTTTTGTTCATACATTTGAAGCGGGTGCGAAGCGTAAAACTGTCGACAATTGTAAAGCATATAAATATGTTTAGGCTTAACTACAGTTTGGGATGTACTGCAGCGTTATAACGGTTCTTGTTGGTCTAAGAATTTGAACTGCTTGGCGTTCTGGCCAAAATTCCTTGTCGGCTAGAGTCAGAACTTGCCTTGCGAGCAGTTTATATTTACTAGAAATGATCAAATTGAATATCTATGTATGTGGGAATTATACTAAACCTTAGCGGTTCATAAAGGTAAATTTGCACAGTTTGACATTTTGATTCAGAATGTGCTTGGTATGGCCAAGCAGTTTACATGGACTGTAAATAACCAAAATTTAAGATTGGTATTTTTTAGGATTATTATCGAAACTGCTTAAAAGTTCCTTACGGTAATTTGGAACTGTTGCGCACTCATACGCACAATATTCCTTGCAGCGGGCAAGCAGTTTTAATTAACTTCCAAAATGACCAAAATTTAAATTTTATCTTACGATTTGTTTATGTGGTAACTGCATAACAGTTCTTAAGGGTATATTTGAACTGCTGGGTATCTGAGCAGAATGTGCCTTGCGAAGGCAAAGCTGTTTAAATACCATAAATACCAAATTTCAGTGTTTTCGAAATGAGTTTGGTATTTAATAGCAGTTTAAAATAAGTTTTAATATTTTCGGTTTTTTGAGTTTTTTTTATTAGCGGAAGCAAGCAGATCTATGTAAATTTTAAACGCCTTACTTTTCTATATTCACGTGCTCAACTATTTTATTTTAAAAATCTGCATTTTTTGGCTAAAACGTTAATAGTCAAGCCATGTTTTATTTACAAGCAATTTTAGGCCAAATTGCTTTTTTAAGTCTTTTTCTGTAATTTAAGCTACTTTATGACACAGTTTAATTGTTGGGAAACTGTTACCGCCAACAGTTTGAGCCGCACACCGAACTTGTTTTACAGTTTTAACTGCACTTGTTTAAATTTGTTATCTTGGAGGGCTGTCAATGCCTGACAGACTTATCACGACTCTCAGGGCCAATACGAAGTACACGCAAACTCTTTGCCAAAGCAATTTGAGAAACATTTTTTCAGCTGCTCATCAGTTTTTTTTTTTTTTTTTTGTTTAATGTAATCTTCGTTGCACTTGACCCCTTTTTATGTGCTTAAGAGCAGACAAGCTGCTGAGTTTGCCTATATTTTAGTTCATTTGGTTTGTCATTAACGAGCGCTCGAGCGAGGAGAAACATTAAATGTAAACAAAAGACTTGTACAAGACACAAACTTGCGGGTGTGCAATCCAATCGTCTATGCGCAACTAAAGCTTTTCAGACATGTATAACTCGCCTGACATGCAACAAAAACAACAATAACAACGACAACAACAACAGGCGGCAATTGTGTGAATTGTGCAGCTTGGCGCCGGCACTGACCAAAACTTCAGCTGACCAAAGCAACAACTAAAAGTTAGTCAGTCATTTAGTTGTTGTTGTTAGTTGCAAATTGTGTAATTTCTTTTGCCACTTGAAACAGCGAAACTTGCGCATTGCTTGTGTGTGTGTGTGTGTGTGTGTGTGTGGGAGAGTGTGGCAAGCTACAGTTTGAGCTGCGCCACCCGCTTAGCACAAATATTTACTTTTCTTTTTTAATTTGGGTGCTATTTTTGGCACATCAACTAGTTGACCAAATAAATGCTTCCTGATATTTGGGTTGTACCAAACTAATATTTAAAAACTCCTGCGCTTCGTATGCAGCACCAGCACTCAAGTTTACAGTTAACTGTGCCGAATACGCGACGCGATTTATATTTTATATTTCTTTGCGTGTGAATCATGCGAGCGTCAACTGGCAACTGGCTTCAAATTTCAGGCCGGCAACCAAATAAGTGAGTGGAAATGCGACTGGGAGAGCCCAGCTGCAAAGACGGCATAGTTCAGGCACAGCCACACTCTTTGATTGAATTGCGATTTAATTTCCTTATTTACTTTGCGACAAACCCACCCAAATGAGTACTGTGTGCTCATTTGTCTTGAAGTGGCCGAGCTGAATGTAATTAGGCAAAAATCGTGCCGTTTGGCATTTATTGTTGTCAAGTTCATGGTATTGAATATTTTAGGGCTTTTGTGCGTGCCTTGCAGACTAAAACTGTAAACAGGCAATATGTCTATTTATTTTTTGATGTTTCATGCGATTACTAAGCCATCTCAGCTGGTTGAACAAGTGCTGAGTGAAGGCGGTTTGTTAATAATTGCACGTGAATTGAAGCGAGGTCAATTTGAATTCAAATCTGGCGTGGGGCCGCGCGCGTACTGCACTGGCGCCATTTGTGGCGCGGCGTTGGCAACATGCATTAAAGTAGCATCAGTTGAGTCACACTCCTTTCGTTAGGCTAACATTCGTTAAGTTCAGGCAGCTGTTAAATTCAAATTTTAAAATATACTTTTGGGCGGGTTGCACATTTTTGGTGTCCATTTTTAGGTCGTCTTGTTTAACGAGTTTTGCCATATTCCGGAGATGCTATTTGCATTAGTTTCCGTCCTTTTTTTTGTAATTTTGAAAAGCGAGTTTTTGTCATATTTATTAATTAGGGCATATGCCATATGCCTTACGCCTAATCCGGTTTGTAGCCTGTGTTTTTTTTGTTTTTATTTTCACAAATGCTAGGATATCTTCGGATATGAAAATATGTTCATATAATTCGTATGGCAGCATGCGCGGCGTTGGGGTTTGCAAAAAAATGTGGAACGCTTCACGATTTTGCGTGTCATCCTTGCGCAGGGGCCATGCTAATCTTCTCTGTATCGTTCCAATTTTAGTATATGTTCTGCCGAAGCAAGAACGAAAAATACTGCATTATATAAGTTATTTATATTGCGGTGCAGCCCAACTACAAGTTGAGAATTACAAGCCATTTGTGGTATCGCTCAGGCAGCGCGCGCGAATGAGGGTTGGTTTCTACCCAAACTCAAGATTGTTGAATCCAAGCATATTATGTATGCAGTGCTCAACTAGATTTTAATTTATTAACTACATTTTTTTATTCGTATAAATATGTTCTAAATATGTGTATAGCGCGTACGTATCAGAGTATTTGTCAATTATCGTAGAAGTCTTCATTTAATCCTCGTAATTGGGTCTGGTAAATTTCTGCAAGAAGCTGTACCAACGTGCACGATCAAACCAAGGCAGCAAACGGTTTGGCAAACGTTTCTTATAATTTGAATTTGAATAATTGGGACAGTTATCCATGAAACATTCGTTAGTTTCATGAACGCAGTTCATGCATCTGTTACAGCTGCACGTAAGATGCTGGGCACATGCTTTTGTGTCATCGTCTGGATCACATTTCTCACCCTGACGGCGGTAGCAGAATTTTTTGGGACAGCTGTTTATCATCACGTCATGATGACCCTCCGGCCCACAATTATCGAGTTCTGCAGCATCGTCGGGACTGCATATCTTCTCATAGCCGAAATCGCTGCGTTCAAGTAGAACAAATGAATATATAGCGAAAGCGAGAGCTGCTTTGAATACTTACATGGCGCAACATTGATGCCAAATCGCGAGAAATATAACAAGATCAAGCAGCAGCCGGATTCTGCCGAGTCCATGTCGCATTCTTTGTGGATTGGGCATTGTCAGTGTTTAGCTTGTGCTCAGATAACTGCTTCTGCTGGCCAACATGTTTATTGGCACGCTTTTATACAAGAACTTCGTCCAGGACTACTTAATTAGATTCAAATCTATGTGAATAATTCGTTGATTAAATAATCAACTGTTTCAATTAAGTGCTTTTTATGTCCTGAACCCTATTGGAAATGGTTAAAAAGGGTAGATAGACATATTTAATAGGCAGAAGAAATCTCCCGTTCTCTAAAGTATATATCCTTGATCAGGACGTCGAGTGATTAATCTAGCCATGCTCATTTAGGAAACTACAAAATCTATAGATATCAATTAATTTGAACGTGCATTTGCAGAACGTGCTTAATATTTTTTACATATATATCGTTACATTTTCATGACATCTATTTTCGGACATGATTTTAAAAACAAACCTCAAAAATGATAAGAACTACATGCAACAAACTTGGTATGTAGGTTGTCGTTAAATTAAAAAAAATATAATAAATATTAAAATTTTTGAATACTTCCTCGCATTCCTCACGAACTCATTTCATATTGTGTGTCATTTCCTGCTTGTGGCGCGCGACCTCGGGTATAATGTAGAATATATCTGGAATGTATATAGAAAAAATCTAGAATGTTTGCGACGGCATCTGTGTTCAGGGTATACCCTATTCGGACACTCGACTGAAAGCCTCTTGTGTTCAATTGAAAATCAATTTTCCACACAATTGTGCAGCGAAGCATGCGATCTAAATAGTTCAATGCCAATGCCAGGAGACAAAGATTTTAATTATACATGGATTTTCAGAGTGACAGCTTCACTAATTGATGGGTCAAGTCTAAACGGAATTATGAATATTGATGCCTGGTGAAAAATAACTAAAGTACATAAGCTGGTTTATGAATTTAATGAATTATGAATTAAAAAATTATATTAAATATTATTTATAATAATATATAAATGCATATAGTATATATAGTAATCGTCCATTATTCAAGTTCTTTTCGGCATTTATATTGGAGTGCACGAACATGCATTCCCTTTATTTGCCAACCCTTGTTGAAGTCAAGAAATATGAAATCTTGAATGGCCGTGGTAAACCGTGTAAATTTGTTATCTCTACAGCGCAATTGAGTATATCTAAATAATTTAAAAAGAAAACCTAAGCAATAATCAGAGTGTTATAAATACATTTTTACATTACCTTTGGGGCATATGTCTGTCAAATGATACACGTTCCACATACCTTCCCAAATAAGGGCAAATTGCATACTTGGCAAAGTTAAAGTTGGCGTAGAACTGAAAGAATTGCTTAAGAACTGAACGCGTACTATCCTCATCGACTTCTAATTTGCTCATCTTAAAGTCTGATAACTTCAATTGATTGAACGTAGTAACCCATGCTGAAATATATTTAGTTTTAAGTTTTGCGGAATTGGTATATATACACAGTACGACCTCGCTCAACGCAACCCTCGTTACACGCAACTCCTCGATAATTGCAACACCCGATTTCTTAACATTGTAGAAACAGCTGTTCAGAAAAGTATAAATTGTAAAAGGGTACAGACCACAATTACTCAACTTTTCAAAAAATAAATAAAGTAAAATGAAATCCTTGCTTTGAACACAGAATTATTCGACTTACTTAAATTTTAATGGTAAGCAAAGGTATATCTTTTTGGAAATAGGTTTTTGCAACCACCTCACTTTTCGCAATTTGCCGAATTTTAATAGGTTGCGTTGAGCGAGGTCGTACTGTATATATATATATTCATATCTTCATGCGTTGTATGTACATACGTCCAACAGTTGGTTCTAGATTTTTCTGAAGCCCATCAATCCCAGGCAGATGGTTATGTAGTTGCAAAAAGAATATGACCATTAGTATGAGTATATGGCTACGAAAAGATGTTTGCAGACCAATACTTTGTATCCAGCCTCGTAAATAGATCACCATATAGCGAGCTGCTTGTGAAATTCAATTTTATATTAATTGTTATAAAATATAAATGAATTTTGCACATTTACTTACCTATAGGCTGTATTTCAAAGAGATACATGACCAGTTTATTTTGTCTATAGGTCAGCCCGTTCAAGCAACTTATGTCGCACTGCAAGCCAGTCGTATGCTTGACCGTCACGATGGGACATCTTCCGCCATAGGTGGCAATACGCTTCCAACTTGACTCTGAGTTAAAAGCATTTGACAAAATTCGTTGTCGTTTCAAGACTTCCATAGTGGGTGATTCACTGTATTCGTAGAAGCTGTTGTCTAAGTTCAGATAAAAAACATACCACTTTGAACATTGTATATGTACATGCAGCAGCCGCTCGTTTCAATACTAACCCAACTCAACGTAAACATCCAAATCTGAAGTTTCCTGTCCAACTCCCATTATACGCGAGCCAAAGGGATAAATTCCTATTGAGTTGCTTAGCAACTTTGATTTCAATAATGTCTCCAATTCAAGCTGAGCGTCGTCCCTTTTATTTTTTATATCATCGGCAATGAGAACTTTTTCCAAGAGTTCCGACCAAAATGTAACGCGATCTTTATAAAATTTAAATTAAATCAATTCAATATTAACATATGAAATTTAAGCTTACGCAAAGACATCTTTCCGATCAATATGCGGCAAGCGAGGCAGTTTCAAGTTCTAAGTACTGTGAGACTTTCTGGTAATTTACCAAATTAACTGTAAGTAAAGTGTGACCAAAGCGACACAATTTGTCAAAATTTTCCACCACACAAAAATACCAGGTCATTCAATTGATTTTGGTACGAATGTACTTTGGACCGATTCTTTTCACTAAATCTCGAATTATCACTTTTTCCGCCTCGAACATTTTTAAAATATATTTAAGCCCTGATATTTTGAATAGAACGCTCGGCTGTTGCTAGAAGTACAAATTAGATTAACAAAAAATGTATAATAGTATTAATAATATTTGTATATATTTTGTTATTCAAAATGTCAACTGCATATTTATTACACTCTGTTGTCTGTAAAGCTGTGCATCGAACATAAAATCAACACATCAATCAATACCATTTAGTTTTGAAATTTTTTCAAAGCGTGGCCACTTTACAAGGCAGCCCTTACAATCGTTTAGATGCTTGAAATCTTAGAAAACAAACTAAAGTTCCATTGCATTATATTTTAAAAGATTTTAAATTGTAAATTGTCAAAAAATTCCTTTAATAATTCATTCAGTTCGTTATTTATCTGAGGCATAAATAAATCTCAACTTTTTCATTGCCACTCCCATATATGTAAGTCAAAATTGCGTACAGGTACAGTTTAATATTGAATATTAATTTTTAAAAAATGTTTAAACATTTACGTTTTTTATCTTCTTCGAGCATCAATAAGTTGAGTGTGGTTACCAAAGCTGCAACTTATAAAAGTTGAACAAAATATTTATAGTCTCTTTGCACAATCGGCATATAATTACATACGTCCAACTGATAGGAAAAGAGGCACATTAAGTCCAAAATGTGAAATGAATTATAATTATGCGGCTACGAAATTGTTTTTGTACCCAGCCTCGCAAAAGGATCTTTTTATAGCGAGCTATTCGATATTAACAATATTAATATTATTGCATAATAAGGCGGGCTTTTGGTAAATCCCGCTCCGAACTGTGGAAAATTGGCGGAAACCGTAGCAACTTTTTTGCTTACCATTCGAACGGTTGTAAACTTATTTTCAAAGATCTTTGTGCAAATTCATTTGAACCGCAACATTTACGGCTTTTGGAAGCAATCTGCGGGTCAAAAGCTGCATGAATGAAAGCATATCCATTTGGCAAGAGGTTCTTAGTTCGATAGATTTTAAACTCGTTTTCAAATATCTGAGCGTAGATTTTAATTATCCACGGGCGAAGAAAGGATGGAAAATTGATGTCTAAAAGCAAAAATGTTGCATACATATGAAAATTATAATCGATAAAGATTAAGTCAGTAAGTTAAGTATATTTAGTCTGAAAAGAACCGTGTATAAGACAACCGAGGGAAAACACACATGATTATGCTTGAGCATTTCAAAAAATATTTACCCAAAGCTTTTGCCAGGTTGAGAGCGAGCGAGACTCATCTGTTATCATAAGCTAACAAACAGTGTTATCAACCTGAACAGCGTCGGGGTTGAAGTGGAAACGCGAGAGGGTCGCTTGGTACCGCCGATAGGGAAAAGCAAGCAAACAGCTTTGTTTTTAGTATTCCAATTGGCAGCGCGCGTTGAGGAACGCTGACTCGTTTAAAAATGGTTGTCGAGAAAGTGATTTTGGCCTATTCGGGTGGCTTGGATACGAGCTGCATACTGAAGTGGCTGCTGGAGCAGCGTTATGAGGTCATCTGCGTGCTGGCCGATGTGGGCCAGCAGGAGGACTTTGAGGCAGCGCGTCAAAAGGCGCTCAAGATAGGCGCCAAGGAGGTGGCTAGAGTGCAACGCATGCCAGCTAATCACATCTAATCTCAAGTCAATATACAATGTTCCAGGTGATTGTGGCTGATATCAAGCAGAATTTCGCTGAGCAATACATATGGCCAGCCATCCAAATGGGCCTTATCTATGAGGAGAGCTATCTGCTGGGCACCTCGCTGGCGCGACCCTGCATAAGTGTGGCCCTGATCGAGGCCGCCAGGCGGCATGGCGCCAAGTATTTGGCGCATGGTGCCACCGGCAAGGGCAACGATCAGGTGCGCTTTGAGCTATGCGCTTATGCGCTGCAGCCGGAACTGAAGGTGACTATGCCGCAGTTGGAATAGGAATAGCATCTAGAGTTTCTTCATTTCATCTATAGATCATTGCACCCTGGCGCGACGCGGAGTTTTGTCGCCAGTTTCAGGGTCGTCAGGATCTGATTGCCTATGCCAAAGCCCATGGCATTGAGGTGACAGCCAAGCCAGCGACGCCCTGGAGCACCGATGGCAACTTGCTGCACATTAGCTACGAGTCGGGCGTGCTCGAGGATCCAAACACTGTGGCGCCCAGCACACTTTACGAGCTGACCCGCGATCCGTTCACACAGGCGCCACAGAAGCCCCACCGCGTGTGCGTCCACTTTGAACAGGGACTGCCCAGCAGCGTTGAGGATCTGTCGAGTCGTCAAGTGTATAGCACGCCCATGGATATGCTTAAGTTTCTAAATGATCTGGGCGGCGCCTACGGCATCGGACGCATTGACATTGTGGAGAATCGTTATGTGGGGCTCAAGTCACGCGGCGTCTATGAGACGCCAGGCGGAACCATACTCTATACAGCGCACCAGGACTTGGAGGTGTTTGCTTTGGATCGCGAGGTGCTGCGCACCAAGCAATTGCTGCGCGATCGCATGTCCGACTATGTGTACAATGGCTTCTGGTTCAGTCCCGAGGCGCTCTATGTGCGACGCTGCATTCAGCTGGCCCAGGAGCATGTCACCGGGCAGGTGACAGTGGAGCTGTCGCCTGGCTATTGTCGCGCCATTGCCCGCAGGGCTGGCGACAAAGTGGGCGCGCTCTATAACCAGCAGCTGGTCTCGATGGATGTGCATGGCGGTTATGTGCCCCAGGATGCAGGCGGTTTCATAGCCATCAAGGCGGTGCGCATTCGGGAGCATGTGCGCGCCTTCGGTCCCTACAAGACTGACCAGAACTAGCTCAACCTCGAGTAAACAACAAGAAAGGCATGTTAGATAAATAAATGATTACAAACCCGACTAAAATTTGGGTAAAAGGCGAACTGCGTAATTGGCAGCTCATGTCTGAGACGAATTAAGTAGCTCCAAGCTGATAAGTTGCAGAGGCAGCGTATTACAAGCGATTAGCTGATAATAGAATATATATTACTCGAACTGTGCAAACGAATCGTTCGAGAATATATTTATAAAATATACACTGTAAGCTTCAAAAGCTTTCTCAAAGAACAAAGCATAAAACGCGCAACCGGTGTGTCATACACTGTACGTGACTTAGCTGCCAGAGAAGTCACTGGTTCTAATTCGACAGCAGTTTACTGTTTTATGATATTCTAAGATGTCAAACTGACGACTTCTTCACTTTTATACTTTAACCAAGAACTTAACACTTGCTTTCTGTGTTATACACGAGTTTATATTTTAAGTTTCGAGCCTCTAGCTTCAAGACATTGCACATAACCAATAAGCCCATTTTTCACCATGCGCACAGAGCAATAAAAATGCTTTGCCTTTCATTTTCAATTTGTGTCAATTTTTTAAACTCTATAACACATACATATGTATATATGCATACTTTTTTCATCTAATATGAACGTTTCACAACTATTTTTATTAAGTCCACGCTTTACTCACTGCACTCAAACGTTGAATAAGCAAATTGGCCGCTGAAGAGTTGATATATGTATACAAACAAATCAATCTTTGTTTATAGAAACCAATATACAAAAAAACCTCAACCTCGAAGCGTCGCCGCAAGCTGCTTTCAGCTGATAAACTACCGTTCATTTATCGAACATCTTAGTCACAGCTATCGATGACAAGTATCGATAGTTTTGCATATATTATATATTCATTTAAAAAAAATGTGTGGATTTCATTTTAGTAAAACAATGGTTAAATATGAACTACATTTTCTGGCTACACTTTCTTATATACTTGATTCATTTTGATTTATTATCATACAATAAGCATCTAAAAAACCACCGATAGCGACAGAGCTGATAGCGGTCGCTTGTAAAAAGTAGCTGGATCCAATGTAAACAATAGCTTGGAAAAAGCTAAATACGCTTACTGAGCAGAAATTGTGAACAAACAGAAATAGCTAAATCTGTTTCTGATTCCCATTGTTGCCGCTCTGTTCTACTGTAAATAGCCAAATTTATCTAGAAAAAAACTAAGCTGCCAACGCTGTCGCGCGATAAGCTGCGTTAAAGCGTGTCGTTTGGCTTTGAAATTTGAATGCTATTTTAATAAATCTGAATAGAGTATGTATATGCAAATGGAACTGATTATTTAATTTCAGAATTGCGGCAAATCTCATAAAGAGCAAGTTATGCAGCCATATATATATGTATGTATATATAAATATGTTTGTATGTACATATGTATTTGGGAAATCATTTGGTTGTTGATTGAATATATTTTCGGTAAACATCAAAAACACTTGAAGACAATCTAATAACTACATATTAACATACACACGCACACACCCAGAGCAACAGCAAATATCGAATGTTGGATTTCCCAATTGCATTAATCTTATTTCCGTAGCTGCCAAAACGAACAATCCAGGCAGGATGCCGGGTCCTGACCCGGCCAGGTTCGGGGCACTGGGGCTCAGCAGCTCATTGCACAAGGAAAACAAAAGACTCTTCTATTGTGGGAAATGAGATGGGTTGGGGGTGGTGGGGGCTTGGTGTTTGGCTTATTTGCACCAGCAAATAAATGCAAAAACTAATATTATTACAACAAATAGAGGCAAAAGAAACTCAAGAGTCACATACAGCTGGGCATATGTTGGGTGACACTAAATGTGCGCGCATGCCTGTATGCGCACTTATTTGTATATATGTACACACACACATAAATATATATATATATTTATATATAAATGCGTGCGTTTACTCAACAACAATTGCCCGTCAGGCAGTTTGTGAGCCAGATGTATGATATAAGCCGTTTGGCAAACAAGCTAGTTATGTATGCCCTGCACTGTACGCAGAATGTGACTAAAACAGGGTATATTGGCAGCTTTGCAAGTGTATGCAACACGCAGTGTGGGGCTTGCTTGCAGGGCATTTGACATTGGACTAGAGCACTCTTCATTTTAGCTCAGTTTTCACGCCTTAGCGAAGCTTACATGTCCTTAGAGACATATTGAACAAATATTCAATGATATTTTATACATATATTTATTTCTTTTTCTGTTTGATAGGAAGAGTCTGAAAAGAAAAAGGGTAATTTCTGAGCTTTGGATCAAAAAGAAATTTACAAATTTATTTGAATTTCTGTTTACATAATTAGAGACTACACCTCTAAACAATGTGGGTTACATTATATTATTTTACATTGATATTTTTTTGTTTCTCGAAACTGAGCTATCTTTTTATTAAAAATACAAACTTTTACTCACCTGCTGAGATAAGATAAGATGAGAGGGTAATGTGTAATGCCTTCTTCGATGTACCCTCCGTACGACGATCCTGTCAATATAGCCATGTTCGTTAGGCTTCTATGTAACTTAGCCTAGGTTCGTCTATTTATTGCAGGCATACATCCGACCAACGTCGGAACCGGATCGGGCTACTATATCATTAAGCTGTCCTAGGGCAGTCAAATATAAGGCCTTTTCTGGTTTTTCAGACATATTGACGAGACTCGGCATTTATTAGTTTTCACAGCTACTATATATCATAAAGTTTTATAGAAAGAATCGGTAGACAAATGGGGCTGTCTTTGACGTGCCATGGATAGCCTTTCTTTCCTGTTTTAATTATATTTTTTCCTATCAAAAAAGCATTTGAACAACACACCTTGTTCTTCTGGTTTTAATTGACTTGGTTCTTCATATATTTTCGTCTTGTTTTTGATCTAATATCACCAACCCATAAAAACACTCCTTATTAATTTTGTTCTCAGGACTAATGGTTGAAGCTCGTTTAGAGCTCCTTGACTTGTTTGTATTCAAAATGTTGGCAGACAGCGTTACAATGTATGTAAACATGCATAACATGCAGATGTGTGTGCGTGTGTGTGTGTGTGTGTGTGTGTGAACAATGTTTCAGTTTCTGTTTTAGTTGCAGTCAAAAGCCCAACCTCAGCGACCATCTCAGTCGGCAGAAAGCGCCAATACAAACTGTTTGCATACTGGACCAGACATTCATCCATCCATCCATCCATCCATTCATCTATCTATCCATCACTCTCATGACAGCAGCTATATATTGTTGTTGTTATTGTTGTTGTTGCTGCGTGTTGTTGGTTTCGGGTGGGCCATACGATCAGACATCGTTGACATTTTAACTTTGTGTTAAATGGTAAAACAGTGTGCACACAAAAAAAAAGGAGAAAAAATAGCCTTTTTGATACATAATATTTGTGTGGGTACAGTAAGGGCGCGCGCGGCGCAGGGCAGGCAAAAAGCAATGCTGTTGCCCCGCATAAATGTTGGGCACAAACAAAAAAAAAGTTAAGCGCTCGGTTTTGCGGGATTATTTGCGTGCTTCAAAGGATGTCGCCAGACTTTTGTCCTGCACGACAACTTTTTCAACTCTGCACCGCATTTTTTTAGTTTTCGTTTCTTATGGTTCCCGAGCTCTTTTATATGCGCGCTCAACTTATATTGAATTTGTTAAATTGAATCAACGGTTAACCCTATCAAAGTGTTGCCTAATTACAAGGCATTATTTCGGAAAGTATTGCGAGTAAAAGTGTCTACGTGGTGGTCAAATAAGTTAAGTGTTCTGCAAAAGTGATAAAGTGCGTTCGGTTTGGCTGCACTTTGAGCCAAGTATGTGGATTGTAATAGGAATTGAAGCCTCTTCATTCGGTTACGGAAAACCAGCATACATCTGCGAGATCGACCCCGTTTTTAGCTTAAATTAGTCAGTTCTCAACTTTTAATGAATTTATTAAATTGAATCAAGTGTTGACCCTATCAAAGTGTTGCGGAATTACAGGGCATTATTTTGGAAAGTATTGCGAGTAAAAGTGTCAACGTGGTGTAGGTGGTCAAATAAGTTAAGTGTCCTGCAAAAGTGATAAAGTGCGTTCTGTTCGGCTGCACTTTGAGCCAAGTATGTGGATTGTAATAGGAATTGAAACCTCTTCAGTCGGTTACGGAAAACCAGCATGCATCTGAGAGATCGACCCAAGTTTCAGCTCAAATAAGTCAGTTCTTAAGTGTAAGAAGGACACAAAGTGCAGCAGAAAATGCCAAAAGATCCATGGCAAGCTCGGAAACGGAATTTCAGGGTAATGCATAAACGCGTTATTTGCTGCTCTGGCAGGGCCAACGCACCAGGCTATCAGACTTGGCAACTGTCAACAATTTATGCCCAAGCTGTAGCTGCACCAAAAAAAGGGCGTGGCACGGGTTGGAGCATCGAGTTGCAGCAACGCCCAATACTTCAGCAAACATAAATTTATTTATGAGCATGTGGCTGGCCCACTTCCCCAACTTGCAGTTGAGTCAGGCTGGCAGCCCCGTGGCTGTTGGTCGCCAGCTCGTCGTCGTCTCGTAGCTACTTCCGCCGCGCTTACAAATTGTTTGAGGGCGAATTTTAATTATTCTTCATTGTTTTGATAGCAACGCGTGCTGCTCACGCGCTGTCTTTCTCACTCCCTCACTCTCCCTCTTCGATGTGAACCTGCTGCGTGGTGCGCCGCCTGCAGCAGCAACATCAACAACAACAACAACAGCAACTGCTGCTGCACAGTGACCTCAGGGGGACCCAAGCGTTCGTTCATTTGGATTTGGCTTGCATGCCCCTCGCCAACCTCTTGCTCTCTCTCTCTCTCTCTCTCTCTCTAAATGCGCTGACAACTCTGGCTCAGAGGTGGCAGCGAATTGTCGTGGGTGCCGTTGCTGACCTAGTCGCAAAAACAATTATTCTTTTGTCTTTACCAAACCTCGTTCTGGCTAGAGTTTGTGCTGAGCCGGCGACTTCTGAAGATTCGTTTAGCTAGAACTCACTTTTATTTCGTTTTCGGCAAGCTGACTCCAAAAGCGTTAGGATTAGATTGTGACATAATATTGTCTAGCTTCCAAATTAATGAAGAATTCCTGACTATTTTGTAAAAATTAATTCCATATACAGGGTGAATATTTTCTTCTGTTAAGCATTTAAGCATTTCGCCAGACCAAATACAATAAAAACTATATTAAGCTTATGATTTATCTTTGTGCGGGTTGAGTTTGGACAGGATCTCTTGCCTGTATATAAAATAATACAGGGTGTTCCGTTGGAGTTTACAAGTATTTTAAAGGCTCAATATGATAAACTTAACTTAAAAGTGATAAGATTTCAGTTTACCAATGTCACTGTGTATAAAAGTAGTTTAACAATGTTTAACAATGCCAGATTAAATAGATTAATACCATATATACAGGGTGCTTCTCTAGAAATTAGGTAAACAATAAAAAAGACTGAATATACAGGGCGATTCTGCTCGACATGCAATTCTTTTAGATATAATATAATACAACCAATTATGATTTGCCATTGCTTATTAAATAAGCACTCCTGATTACCGAATTAAAAGCGCATATACAAGGTGTTTATTCTTCGACTGAATTTATTATGGTAATAACTATATAATACAAATTAAGATTGGATTATAAATTGACATTATTAAGGCTGGGATAAGACATTAATACCAGATTATTTGATTTGTGCGTACCAATGGGTAAACAGTATTCGAAAGCCTTCCAAATAAGCGTAAGGTACGATTTCTTGCTTGCCTTCAGCTTGAGCTG